TAGGAGTTTCTAGCCACTAGTCATCTTGTTGGCATTCAAGATACTCACTGGAAGGATTCCAAAGTCTTAGGAAGCTGTATGTCAGTAAGTGAAAAGAAGACTATTTCACAATGTCACAGAAATACACCATTTTACATAGTACTAAACATTTCAACATTTACTTTTCTTTCTAAACCCTGTCTATATTCTCTGCCCTTTTTCTATTGTTTGTCTGAACTTCAAGTTTTAATACTTTCAATGTATTTATCGTTTGTCAGTGTCATCCTTTCCCAAACCGGATTACGTTCTTTTTAAAGAACATGATCCCCCCACCCTGTAGCTCCAATTCATAGTATGCCTATAAGAAAAACATTACTTGCCACGTTTAGATCCAATAATGGGAGGCATGACCAGAAGATTGAGAAAAATCACAATATAGGGACATTATTAGAATCCTATCAGTAATGGATATTATCCTGACTTACATAAAGGCAAGGTCAGTTTCAAAATGTTTCTTTGTTTGTTTTTAGTTTAAAGATCTCTGAAATGTCCCAAGAAAATGAGTTTTTCCCTGTTTGGTTTTCTTTACTTCTCATCTGGCCAAGAAAAATGTGTATTATGTCTCTCATCTGGGGTACCCTATCCATACTGTAGTAAAACAATAAGAGATAATAAGGAATTTTTAAAAACTCTTTGGAGCCTTGACTTTATCTGTTAGAGAAAAATGCCTTTAGGACTATATAATTTTCCAAGAGCTAATTTTCCTATATGTCGTCTAACTCACAAGGCAAATATGTTTTTTGAAACCTGATTGGACCTCTTTAGATTTATTTAACACCTAAATATCTCCATTTATACCCGACTCATCATTAAAAGGAAATTATATACATGTTTGTTTTTTTTTTAATTCATATATTATTTCTCATTCTCTGAGGTCTTAATGTTAAGCAAGTGTCTGGACCTAGTATGTGCTAATTTTCCTTCCTTTTCCTGATTATTTTATTTTGTTCTCAGGTGGTCAGGATGTAATAATCGAGAGAAGATTGGTGTTCATGTTGGCTTTGAGGAAACTTTAAACATGGAGCCATATTGCTGCAGGGAGACCCTGAAATCCCTCAGACCAGAATGCTTTATCTATGACTTATCTGCTGTAGTAATGCACCATGGGAAAGGATTCGGCTCAGGACACTACACTGCCTACTGCTATAACTCTGAAGGAGGTATAGATAGGAAAAATTATTTTATGTTGGGTTAGACTTGGACGTTGGATTTCAGGCTTTAGCAATTTGTAAGTTGGCCACTAGATAATCTTAAACAAAGCCACCTGACCACTTTTCTCCTTAGAATGTTTCTGAAGTGCTGGGAGTAGTCCCCAGCGGCTTAGGAGGCTGAGGCAGGAGGATTGCTAGTTCAAAGTGAGCCTCGGCAATTTAGCAAGGCCCTAAGCAACTCAGTGAGACCCTGTCTCTAAATAAAATGCAAAAAAGGGCTGGGGATGTGGCTAAATGATTAAGTACCCCTGAGTTTAATTCCAAGAAAGAGAGAGAGAAAAGAAAGAATGTTTCTTAAGTATGCTAGTTTAAAGGGGGTGGGGGGCAGGGGCTCTGGCACACACCTGAAATTCCAGGACTAGGGAGGCTGAGGCAGCAAGATTACAAATTCAAGGCCAGCCTCAGAAAGCACCAGGGACATAGCTCAGTGGTAGAGCACCCCTAGGTTCAATCCCCAGTACCAAAAAGACCTTGGGTTCAATTCCCAGCACTGGGGGAAAAAAAAGGGGGATGGGGTGGGCTGAGGAGAGGTTGTGTAGAAAATAATTGTATTTTCGTAAGGTTTACAGTAATAGTATATTTTCTGAAAGTCTGAAATACTTTTGAGGATTTAAGGGTTTGGGGGACACAATACTGAAGGTGGTCTTGCTAATTAAAAGTCAGAATGTATACTTAAAGACATGCTTCCAATAGCAGGGTCCTATGTTTATTCCTTTTACTTCAGTTCATTTTGTTAACATCTAACACACAGATCACAGATATACAGAACAAACTTAAAGAGTACAACTTTAATATACATAATCTAGTTTTATTTGCTGTCTCGATGACCCTTCTAGGACAGTATAATCCTATCAGAAGTGATTGGATTAGACATTTCACTATTCCCATTTTGGTACCTGAATGAAGAATGAACCACCACCACCAATACCCACACAATAAATAATGTGAACAACACACATACACACCCCTCTACAAAAAGCCCAGATAATCCACAAAGGAATTAATTCAACAGTGAATTACCAGGAGTTAGTTACATACTGTAACATACTACATGAGCTGTATTTCTCATTGGAGAAATTGCTGAGAAAATTATTTTTCTTTCAGAAAAAGCTTAACTTTCAGTAAAATTTAGCTTTTTATACTAGAAACTTCGGAGGTTCCTTTATAAACATCCTATTTCTATGCTTCACTCTAGGGTTCTGGGTACACTGCAATGATTCCAAGCTAAGCATGTGCACTATGGATGAAGTATGCAAGGCCCAAGCTTATATCTTGTTTTATACCCAGCGAGTTACTGAGAATGGACATTCTAAACTCTTGTCTCCAGAGCTCCTGTCTAGTAGCCAACATACCAATGAAGAAGCTGATACCACTTCTAATGAAATCCTTAACTGATCCAAAGATAGTAGGGCTTTCTTCTTGCAATTTGTATATATACTTTTTAAAAGGGCTGACTTAAAATTTTGAGCTTCATTGTATTTTTTTTATTTTGAAATCAGTGCACACTACATTTACATTTTGTATTTATGACAACTTTTTATTTTTTTTTACAGAGACAGTGTATCAACTGCAGGGAACTAAACTTTTTTCAAGTACTCAGAGTTTTAAACTTTTAATGTTTACCTCAGACTAGTGTTACCTCTTATTTTGATGTCTTAACTGACTCATATCATGAATTTGTGCAATCTACTAAAAAAATTTGGGAGGCATTTTATATACATTTGTTACTTACCTTTTGTAACTATTTTCTATACAAATTCAAAATAGATTGAAAATTAGACACTTTCTTCACAATGTCTTAACCAAACAAAGTTATTTCTTTCAGGCTATTTTCGTATTGAATATCTGCCCCTTGAAGAGAATTAAACTATATAATGAAAGTGAAATATCCAGATATCATCTTAATACTCAGCAGTCATACTCACTGATGTTCCTGAGGCTTCATGCATTACAGGGCTCAAAAGATATCTTGTAAATTTTGTTTTAGTAATTGTTCTTTATTTGGCAGAGTCAATCTGCATTTAAATGAAAATGGCAGATTTACAAATGGTATATTAAGTGAACTTTGCAACTAAGGACATAAAAAAATGATGGCTGGGACTTATGATTTGTCGGCAGCAAACAGGTTCTAATAAGGCAGATTCTAATAAAGCAGTCATTAAAAAATTGAATTTAGCAAAACAATATGATGTAATACAAATGTAGTTTATCCTGGGTATATGTTTATTTTATATTTGATAACATTAGATTTCTTAAAGCTTTGTATACTTGAAATGTTTAGTTCAAAGGAATAAGAAGTCTCAAAAAACTGCATAGGTAGAGAAGGAAAATTCAAAATTGGCAACTGGTTTATATACCTAGTGTCTCATTTTTCTAAAAAACAGAAGCCTGGATTTTTTACTCTTGCTAGGATTATGTGACTACTGGAAACCACTTAAACATGGGGCCCCAATCTTTAAAAAAAAAAAAAAATTACCTGAACTTGAATTTTACTAAAAACTGTGAGACACTCACTTTGCTCTTCTAATAATCTCACTAGATGTCTTTTAAATCCTACTGCTGCTCCCTTACTCAGAAGGGAACTTCACTCCACTAAACTCTGCACATCAGTTCTGTAAGATCTTAAGCACAGTGTTAATTGCTAGAAGATGATTTGTCCCTCTAAGTGGGTTTATTTGCAGCTTGAAGTCTAATGAAAAATATCATCCTGTAGAATGCTCTTGGCCACTAGTGCTTATATGTAAGTATAAACTTGAAAGAGACCTCCATTAGCACATTTAAGTTTCACATGTCATCTGGGGAAGTTGATAACAAAGTGCTATGAGAATTTATCACTGAACAAATTATTTGTGCCAAAAATACAGCTGGAACATAAATGACTAGGTTTAAAACTGTTCATTTTCTGAAAACCTATGCAAGTTGTTACCTCTATTGTTATGTATTCTTATACCTCATTAAAGATTTATGTGGTCAAGTTATCGAGTTTATCCATTAATTTCAAGTACTGTTTTAAAAGGCTGTATTTTTGCACCTAATTTTAATGGGCTCTTAGGATAAATAAGGTTATGTCGTTTATAGTGCACGCCTGTAATCCCAGCATCTCAGGAGGCTGAGACAGGAGGATCCTGAGCTCAAAGCCAACCTCAGCAAAGGGGAGGCAATAAACAACTCAGTGAGACCCTGTCTCTAAATAAAATACAAAACAGAGCTGGGGATGTGGCTCAGTGGTTGAGTGCCCCTGAATTCAATCCCTAATTCCCCACCTGCCAAAAAAAAGGTATAGTTGCTTTTATTTCAGTGTAAAAATACATGGGAAAGAGTTGGTTGTGGTGGTACATGCCTGGAAATCCCTAGTCAGGATGACGATGCAGGAGGATCACAAATTCCAGGCCAGCCTGAGCAATCCGAGATCTCTCAAAAAAGGGCTGTAGTTCAGCACTAGAACACTTGCCTAGCATTGAGAGGCCCAGGATTCAATGCCCAGTACTACAAACACACACACACACACACACACACACAGCAGTCTTAAAATTTAACACCTGTATGACCACAGAGGGTATATAGGAAATCTGCAGTATTTTCCATAAGATTTTGCTGTGAATCTAAAACTGCTCTAAAAATTAATATTTTAGCAAACAAGAAACTAAAATCTATTTTTAAATGAACAAATTTTAGAGTTCTCACTAAATACCTCAAATATCAATATGGGTTTCTACATTCTCCTAAATTGGTCTAACAAAAAACAACATGTTTGGTTGTAAAATAATTTACTAAAGGCACTATTGTTAAACATCAAACTAATTATTTTACCAATAAGGTACATCATTGTACACATAACAAAATGATTAAGAGATACATGGCTAGTAGGCAAACATATACAATTTTTTTTAAGTGACAGCTTTCCTATTTACAAGATCGAATCCATTCCAGGGGCAGCTCCCACTAGTTATTTGGGAAAGGAGCATGGAGCATATATAGGTTATAGATCACTACTGCTAAAAAGGTCTCTCAGCTCCGAAATTCTTCCTTGGATCAGTTTTTAAAATCCTGGGTTTAGAAATCAAAATACTTGTTTTGTATTTCCCACCAAAGCATATAAACATATGGATTCAAAACCCCAAAGGAGCTAGCTGGAGGGCTCAAGCCCTACAATGTGTCCACACAAAACTGGTGAGCTCTGCTGCTTGAACAGCATCACAGAAAATGAAGAAATTATTCAAAGGTAGCTATTACATTAGCACCATAATAAACATAGCTTTTACAGCTAAAAACTAGATTATTTTTCTCAAAAGATAACATTCATTTATAGCTCTAATGCTGAAAGCAGCTTTTCAATGTAACAATCTTAAGTACATAAGTCATAGCTTCCTCCTTAAGAGAAAAAGGTAAACAAAATACAAACTAAACAAGCATCCCAGAGGCAATAAAATCTCATTGTGCTAAAAGCATATACAAATTAAGGCTTTACCTTGGCACATAACAATATTGAAATTATGCTGGAACAAATCACATAGAAGAATTCAAGCAATTAAGGAATCAGTAGTGGGGTCCAGTTCAAACAAGTAAATGTTATGCATCCTTACATTCAACTTAACGCATTTAGCTGCTGTAAGAAGGGTACTGGTAACCTCATTTCCTGAAATGGCCAATCTCGATACTAAGAATCCAAATCAGCTAAGGAACAGAGTGTTAATAGCATTTGATTCACTAATGAAAAACTCTAATTTCAGTTTCACCTTTCTAACTAGAACAAGATCTGAACATGGGAGTTTTTCCTTTGCTTTTGTAGCTTTAATACCCTTTTCATACAAGCTGAAAACACCTCCTGATAACTACCACTAAACAAAAGAATGAAATGTTTGTAGATTTTTTTCACTAAATCAATGATTCTCAAGTTGGTGAAATGTTCCTACTTAGTCATGTTTCAATTAGTACATTTTTCCAACATCAGAAAAAAATGAGAGGTACTAATCTGGTTCTATAAGAAGTAAAATCTTATAAAACTGTATACCAGTGAATGAAAAGATTATTGTTCCATTTAATGCACATGAAGATCTTATTTTAGCCACTATGTCAGAACCTCTCGATGTAGTATCTATAGTCCAGATAAAATGCCTTGAAAGTTTTAGCTACTTCCTGTTCAAATTATAACCACAGACATTGAAATGTAGCTCTCAGATCTGAAAATGTCTTTATTTTTTAGAAAATGGATTCCAGGAAGGTTAAAAAGCAATACCAGAGGGCATAGGTGCAGAATTGGATGTAGTCATTCAAAGCATTCAAGTAAGAATATGGCAATATAAATATCCAAAAAGCATCTCTTAGGTGTTCAAAACAAAATGTATAAGTCAGTCCTAACTAATTTGAGCTTTATAGCATTTCCTAGACTGGGGGGGGGGGGACACGACAGTTAACATTGTAAAGTCCTGAAAGCTTTTTCCTTGGTTAATTACATTAGACAGTTTGCCTTTGATCAAATTCCTTTAAACATGGATAAAAGTATTACACAGGTCCACTGTTAAAACAGACAACATGTTGCAAATTAATTCTGGTATAATGTATTCCAACAAAGCTTAGAAAATAAAAGATGTTGAGGTGGCTTTGGACTAAGTTTAATAGTCATCTCCTCTGCTGACAACTTCTTTACAAGTCGGACGCAACAGTATGGTATGTTCAAACTGCGCTGTGTATGATCCTTTAATGTCACATAATGGTGGATATGGATCTACAATGCCCAAGTCACACAGATTCTTCAGAGCCATCAAATATTTGCTTTCTCCCAAACGATCCAGCCATCTCCGGCAGAAGGCAAGGGTGCCGAAGTTTTCATTGATGACATTTAGTAAGTGTTTTGTTCTTGGAAGCCTAAGAAAAGAAAGTCCAAAGTTAATGGTTGGCAAGAATTACCAACTCATTTTCCCCATTAGGAAAAACCCAAACCTTAGCTGAGTCTTCAGAAACTTGTTGTTACTCTTTCAACAATCAAAAGCTGGAATGTGTAATAGCCCATCCCTAATTATATACAGCAGCTGATTAGGAAACCAGCTACAGACTATCTTATATGTGTATAGACATGTGTGTGAAACTCCTAGTGTACTAGTCTACAGAGTCATGGAAGTTCCCTTTTATGCACCAAGCTCAAAAACCACACATAAAAGGAGGTGCAAATCCAACCTTTAATCATCTTATATAAAAAAGGTTAAAAAAAAAGGCAATGTAAATTGAAATAACTTTAACAATGGGAAAATATTAAGACCAAAAACCTAGGAAATACTAACTAGCTAGGCAAAATAATTGGACATTATTATAATTATCAGACACTTACCTATATAACTTTCATCTCAGATTAAAATTTTTAACAGGCTAATCTATATTGTAGAAACTCAACTTACATAAGTGTACATTTACAAATGTATACCCTTATGTTTGCCATTATTTTTAGAAATACTGTTAATTGAGAAGAGATATATTAATTATAAATCAATGTCTCTCACCTTATTGGCACATGTCCAACATCAAAATTTTTCATGTAATGTGAACACTCCATATCATCATGCACAACACCTTTTCCCGTACTACCAAAGGTCTCAATGGCATACACTTCTCCTTCCTTCGAAAATACATACGGGTCAAGGAAAAAAGAAAAATTCAGAACTAGTTGCAATTACCATCTCTTGACTTCCCACCTAATGCAACATGAAACATCCTGTAGCAGCAGTCTTTATTCAACCTTTCCCTGCCTTATCTCCTAAGCAAATTTTGATCTTTCTGCATTCCTTATTAAAATGCAGGGAATTTTGTTTACTGCTATACCACCAGTGCCTACTAAAAAGATTGGACCCAGGCATGGTAGCATCTGCTTGTAATCCCAGGTACTTGAGAGACTGAAGCAGGAGGACTGCAAGTTCAAGGCCTAGGCAACTAAGACATTATCTGAAAAAGAGCAGAGGATAGAGCTCAGTGATAATAGTGGGTGGCTAGGATATGTGAGGCCCTGGGTTCAATCCTTAGCACCGTGAAATAAATTTGAGACTGGTACCTAGGAGATGTTCAGTAAACATTCATTAAATGTTGAATAAACAACACTTTGGAAGGTCCAGCTTCCACAGCAGACTGGGCTCTGATCTGATTAGATAGACGTTCTACACACATGCATATGTACAAACATCCCAATTTCTGTCCAGGCAAGTATGAACAGTAAACTCATTTAGTTCAATATGCCATGTATTTAACTACCATGAGTATTGGAAGAAAAAATCTACTGGCTTGTAACCCAAGAGGCTGAGGCAGTAGGATCTTGAGTTCAAAGCCAGCCTCAGAAAAAGCAAGGCACTAAACAATTCAGTGAGACCCTGTCTCTGAATGAAATACAAACTAGGGCTGGGAATGTGGCTCAGTGGTTGAGTGCCCCTGAGTTCAATCCCCAGTACACACTCCCCCCAAAGAAGAAAAAATCCAAATACTTTTCATGGAAGTGTGTTAATGATTTACATACCTCCATTCTTGTTGCCTCCCCTCCTTTCACAATGGGCACCGTCTTCCCAGCATGTATTCTATATGGCCCAATTGAATGTCCATTCAGATTACGGATTGGCTTCACTGTCATAATAAATACGGAAGTAAGTGTTATTCAGGGTATCTAATAGGACAAGCACATTCTTGGCCTTTTGGGTACAGAGTTAAGGCATTGTTTTAAAAATAAGGAGTGGCTCTACTAAATAACCTCACACCTAAAGTAGTTAGATATAAACTGGACTCTAGTGGAACATGCAATTTATTGCAGTTATTAATTTAAAATAATTTAAGAGGGAATGGAAAAAAAATTACAGAATGACACATTAGGAGTCATCTAAGAAGTTATAAATCAGTATAAAAGTGTCACGAATGCGGGCTAGAGTTGTAGCTCAGTGGTAAAGTGCTTGCTTAGCAAGCACAAGGCCCTGGGTTTGATCCCCAGCACTGCATAAAAATAAATAAATAAAATGCATTGGGTCCAACAACTAAAAAATACTTTTTAAAAAAGTACCATGTATGCAAATGATTAAAAACCAAAAATATTTATCTACATGATTATGGCAAAAGTAAGAATACTGTGCCAATTTTAATAAATGTTAAATTTTATTATTACCTCAACATTTCAAATATATATATATATGTATATATTAAAATCTAAATCTCAATGTCCTGAAATCAGTGACAGAATAGACAAATTATGGCATAGTTACACAAAGGAATATTATACAACAATAAAAGCAACAAGCTAGGGATACATTTAATAAGTAGAAGAAATGCAAAGATAAAATGAGCAAAAAGGACAACTATATATATGCTCTGCAATTCCATATTTTTATGAGTTCAAAATTAAGCATACTTCATCTGTTTATAAATCAATGTCTCTCACCTTATTGGCACATGTCCAACATCAAAATTTAATTAGTAAAGCAAATAAAATACTCCAGTTCCTAAGACTAGAGGAAGACTGCTGCAACTGGAAAGGCACATGAGTGCTATGGTGTGAATATGTCCTCTAAAGTTCATGTATTTGGAAACGATCACCAATGAGGTGGTATTGGAAGGTGGCGCGTAATCGAAGATATTTGGTCACGGTGACACCACCTTAATGAATGCACAGGTCAATACCACTATCAGGGCCCTTATAAAAAGGCCTCTTCTGTGTGCACACTGTCTCACTCCTCTGTTCCCACCCTCCCTTTGCCCTTCAAGCCATGGGCTGATATGACAAGAAATCTTTCACTAGATGATGGCCCCTTAATCCTGGACTTCCTAGCTTCCAAAATGATGAGAAATTAATAAATTTCTTTATAAAAATTACTTACTCTGAGGTATTCTGTTATACTAGCACAAAATAGACTGAGACAACGGGATTGAGAGGCTTCTAGATGCTGGTAATAGTCTTTTCTTTCAAAGGATAAGATCATAGTTTTTGGCATTTGAGATGTTGAATTTTTGTTTTGTGCATTTACAGAACTACACTTCACAATTAAAAAAAAAAAAAAAGTTTAGAAAAATCTACTTCCATAATTCTAGAATCTCCAGCATAAAGCTACCTTTATTCTGGAGTAGAATGGAAAGTAAGATTTTTTTTTTAAAAAAATTTTAATTGTAGATGAACAATACTTTCATTTTATTTATTTTTATGTGGTGCCAGGGATCAAACCTAGTGCCTCATGCATTGCTAGGCAAGCGCTTTACCAGTGAGCCACATCCCTAGCCCAGGAAGTAAGACTTTTTAAAAACTGTTAACAGTTAAATGAAGTGTAAAATACAAACTTAGGGGAGGTTATGTTAAAAAAAAAAATTAGCTTTTTAATTCCTCTTATACAAAATAATCTATTTTTATTTTAAAATTTAAACCTCATTACTCTAAAGACCTGGCAAACTGACCACACAAGCCTATCAAAACCATTTTTATCTTAAGAAGTTTCTTGGCTACACCTTCCTAGAATATACCAGTTTCAAAGAGAAAAGTGGTACAGGGATACTCATTTTTATTTATACATGCTGTGACAGAAGTAGACTAATTCTGATGCCAATAGCTTTAAAAGTAACTTTCCAATCCTTTGGTTTCTTGATCAAAGGCACTTCCCTGATGACCCAGTTCTGCTATGTGGTTTTGGAATGAGTACTCCTAAAAGTTTAGAACAAAGTGTATTTCTTTATCTTTCTATTATCATTATTTTTCTAATATGTTTTCTGCTTAAATTGGTAAAAATAAATTGTTGCCTTCTAACTAAGAACCTTTATTTATACCCTAAGAAGTATCCAAATAGGTGCTGAAATAATACAACCTAAACTGTTGTATTAGCTTAGTGAAAGAGACAAGAAAACAGATATTAAGGATCCTAATAACAATGAAGGTTGGAACTACACAGTAAATCAAATTGTCATCTATTACAACTTGAAAGGCAGATCACATGCCAACAAACTGTAGAACTGTGAGAGAACAAACTGTAAAAATGGAGGACATTAGTGTAATGCTGGCTAATATTGGAATTTCCAAGAATTTTCACAAATTCTCAATTCAGTCTAGAAGTACTTTTCACGCAGACTGCTATTCAGTACAGGCTGCCAAGAGTCACAAATTCGGAAAGAAAAAAATGCTCTTCACTAGATGATGGCAACGAACCAAGAAACCAGAAGGCCAAACTTACAGACCCACAAATACCTCAAAATAATTTGGCATTTATTCTCTTAATTTCCGTTTTATCCACGGACAGAAAATACTTCTGGGAAGCTCGTGCATAACATAAACAGCCAATCCTACAACAGTTTCTGACTTTTTTTTTTTAATTATATTTTTATTTGTAGATGGACACAATGCCTTTATTTATTTATTTTTATGTGGTGCTGAGGATTGAACCCAGTGCCTCATGCATGAGGGGCAAGAGTTCTACTACC